CCCCCCACGCTCTACGGGGCCAGGAGGCAAATGATGTTTTTTAATCATATAAAACTCCTATATTATACTCACTTCAAAAAATGATTTTATTGTGCTAAGACTACTTAACATGAGATCGACCCTCTAACAGGTTTTTGTGTTCATTCCAGTATTGATAAGTAGAGGCACATGGTTGTACAGATCTCTAGAACTTAATCATCTTAACTTAACTGGAACTTTAGTGACCCCCATTTCCCCCAACCCACCCATACTGGCTCAGGTAAGCTAGAGGAGCATCTCATGTCTCCTTTCCTCATATATATGGGCTTTGTCTGATGACAGTTTGGGGGGTTGCATTAAAAATTTTTTTTTGAATCATTCAAGTTAGTAAAGTGCCTCCCAAAGTGACTGTTTGAAAGGGAATATCATTAGCTTACATCCTATGAGACTGCCATTTTTTGGTAAAAAAAAAAAAAAAAAAAAAAAGAATATTGCTAATTTCATAGAGTCCAACCTAATGCTTCATGGAACGTCTAAGCCATCGTATGTTTGTGAAAAAATATTACTATTTTACAGTCATACTTTGGTTATTTGATTTGAGTATGTGCATGTATAGATATATACACAACATGCGTATATCACTGTCTTTTCATGAATAAGCATAGTACTTTTATATATTGCTATTTATTGTCACTTTACGTACATTTTCCAGTGTGTACAGATGTGTATATATTTTTGTGGATGTCTGCATATGTCTTGGTAGTATAGAAATTGTAACATTTAGACTTTTTGTCACAAGCAAATTTTGAAGCAGCGTTAGTATATGGCCATACAGGTTAGATAGGTTAATAATGCAAAGAAGAAGCTTGGGCTTACCTGGTGTGGTGTGCACACTAGACAATTTGATACTGTGTTTTTCATCCCGTGTTTGGTGTGGGAATATCCAATCCTAGAGGCACAGAACAGCCTACATCTCTGTGCAGTGATGCACAGGACAATCCCCGTGGGACAAGTAGGGTTTGGGTGGGCCACCTTACTCCTGCCGGCTGTTGCTTCAATGCCTGACAAAACAGGAAATGAGCATGTTAATTAGACTATAAGTCTTGCTGCATATCATAAAGACCCACAATGACAGTGTCTTAAGCAAGACAGAACTTTATTTCCTTCCCACCTGTCAGAATTAGACCATCTAAGGTTGGCGTGGTGGCTCTTTCCGCTGTAGTCATTCAGAGGCCTGGGCTCCTTCTGTCTTGTTGCTCAGCTATTCCTAGAGCATTATCTTAGTCTTAATGGTCAGGATAGCTCACCAGCAGATCCACATTCCAGCGGAAAAATGGGGACGTGAAGGGCGTATCCCTCTGCACCCTGGGCACTAAGTTGCCTGCATCACTTGCAGGTCCATCCCATTGACCAGGAATGAATCATGCCTAGCTGCAAGAGAGGCAGGAATGGTTGCTTTACTCCTGGGTTGCATCCTGGGAAGCAAACAACTGTCCCACAGATGACTCTCTCATCAGCTAGTGCAGGGGAGCTTCCCCTCTTGCCCGGTGGCCTTTGTGTCAAATGTTGCTGCATTTTTAGGATGAGATCTTTCTTTTCACATGTACTTATCAGTCTTTAGCTTCTTAATCTTGATGGGTTCTCCTTAGCAACACTTGTGTATTGTAAATTAAGAAACAGAGCATCTGGGAACTGTGGGATAGAGATTTCCCCAAAGATTCTTTCACTTTAGACAATAATTAATTAAAAAAAGATTTCATTTAGAATTAATCTCTGTAACGTCTCTATCGGCAACTGAAGAGCACACAGATTATATTCAAGTGAAGATGAAAGTAAACAGGCTGTTATCAGGTGGGGAGCGTTTGGTCCCCAAATTTGCTGTTTCACATTTGTTTTAAAATTGGAACAAGTAGGTAATTGAGTAAATGCCAATTTTAGCCTCCTACAGTCATGGGTGATTGTAAACCAAAGTTGAAACCAAACAGCTATTTGGGAAGACCCTAGACTAGTTAGTGTGTACACATACCAGGATTTGTGGGTGTCTCCTAATTCACTATCCACAGGCTTCTTTCCTTGTTCGCCATCTATGGTAAAGTTTTGTCGCTTCTTTTATGTGTCTACCCATCATTAGTGTAGTATCAGTTCTAAAGATTATTTTTAGCAGTTTCTCAACAGGGATACTATCCACATTTTCCAGACAATTCTTTGTAGTGCGGGCAGATGTGGGCACTGTGGATGGTTAGCAGGATCCCTGTCCTCTAGCCACTAGCTGCCAGTAGCACCCCACCTTGTTTCCACACCTCCAAAATGTGACAACCGGAAATGTCTCCAGACAAAGTCGGATGTTCCCTGGGGGCACGATTGCTCCCTCTTGAGTACCTCTCATTTGGAGGAAAATAGCCTCCCTTTTCTACTTTTTTCTTCTATTTATCTCTGAATCTATGGATATATGTGTTCCTGAAAGAAACTTGACATCTTCAAAACAGCAAGGGTTATGGAAAAAATAGGATGAGGCAGGCTACTTAATAGGTATGTAAGTATATTACAGTAAGTCCTCGCTTCATGTTGTCGATAGGTTTGTGGAACTGCACAGAATGACCAACAATGAAACCAATTTTATCATAGGCTAATTGACCTAAACAAGTTAGGTTCCTATGGCATGTCATCAACGTCATAACAAAATGCCACTGAAGAAACGATCTTAGTTGAGGGCCTGCTGTATATGTACGCAGCTTTTTAACACAAAACTTAAAAAGAAAACACTGTACTAAAAATATTCCCACAGTTATTATCTTAATCTCTAACAATGAATACCACGGAAACAGTTTTTTAAAAAGTGAATATAAGTTGAAGGGAAGAATTGAAACTCAAGAATTATGGAGAGAAGAGCAACGATTATAAAATCATGAAACTCATGAAACTGTGCAATAGGACTTTTAGGCAAAGCTTACGGTCAGTCTGCACCAAGGGAAAAATTTTTGAAATGAAATTGCCTGCCATTATGCTGCATTCAGCCATGTTTGGGGACATTGCATTCAGCAGCTGTTGCGTGAATTTTAAATATTATGGGCTAGGAAAAATTGCCTTTGAACTAATGTGACTTTTCCATTGATTGACATCATTCTCCGTTACTAATCATAAATTTGCTGCATGGAAACTCATGTTATAGCTAGATAGATTGTGCTTTCGAGGAAACTCATGTTATAGCTAGATAGATTGTGCCACAATTCACAGAGTGTGGCCCTTGCTTGTGGGAAGGAAGTTTGACTGAGTGGTTTACACTAACTTGAATGCAATACATTTAAAGAGTCGTAAAGTTGAGCTCAGGCTTCCCCTGAAATTGGTTTCGATTAGTTGAGAGTACGTGTTCAGCTAGTAATTACTAATAAAGCGAGTCTCAGATTTAGATGATGATGGAGGGTATCTATCGAAGCCACCTTGCCACGAATCTGTGAAAGGTTTCTATTGCTACTGTCTCATTAGTTTTACAGTATAATTTAAGTGTGGACCAGGCCTCCGGCTTCCCCCAGGCCGCCTTCACATGTGTGCCATGCATTTCCTCTTTCAGAGAGGGAACAAGGATATGGTTTATATCTAGAAAAGACATTTGATATAAAACATGTGGGACTAAGAATTTATCATTTCACTCCTTATCCTTAAAGCACCTAAAGCCAGTATTATATCTTGTTTTCTGCAAGGAGTTAGTCAAGAAACCCAATAAATTGCCATTTCTGGTTGCATATCATGTGAGACATAGGGAAGGAGATCTATTGAGACAATACTGATTGCCAGTCCTCACACGAGGCTCGTTACACATCTAGCCTGTGCAAATGTATTTACAGTCACCAGTGGACAAAGGAGATGTAAGACCCTTATGTGCCTATGAGGACACTTGTAATGAAATATTCCAAAACAGAAATTAAGAGTCTTAAAGAACTTCAGGGCATACATGAGGGAGTCCCATGTGGGGCGAGACGCTGTAATTTAAGAATCTTTGCCTTCGTCTAAGCCCATCTAAGACTTCAGTATCAGCACAGGTTCATTCTCTTTACTCCTTAGATTTCACACACTTCAATTTCCAGCCCTTTCCTGGCAGCACGTTACAAAGCTACAGACTTTTTTGTCACGCCAGCACCAAATGCTCATGCAGACCCCTGTTCTGTTTCCTCAGGGTGCACGCTCTTTTTCTACGAGAGTGATGGCAGGTCTGGAATAGACCACAACAGCATCCCCAAGCACGCCGTCTGGGTGGAGAACAGCATTGTGCAGGCTGTGCCTGAGCACCCCAAGAAGGACTTTGTCTTCTGCCTCAGCAATTCCCTGGGCGATGCCTTCCTCTTTCAGGTTTGTAGAGTGTGTCCTGGCGGACATTTCAGATCTCCGAACCAGGTAGCTTCCTCTCCTGCCTGTATACCCCACCCTGTTTTCCTTTTAGTGGTGGGTTTTATCTTTTGCTCCTTATAGAAACAAAAAAATGATGAAAGACAAACATCTGTGCAGAAATCCGGAATGATCGAACTCCTCACCCAGAGGGTTCCAAATGGAATCCTGAGGAGGGCCATGAATTGAATTTGAGAACCTTGTACAGTTTGCTTCGGGTTGAAGGATTTTTCATTGTAGTCTCAATATCGTTTATGTGGTGCTTTAGAAAAGAGATGAATTCCTTAATTTAGACATGATTTGAGCTGTCAAATTTTATTCTATCATAATATGTTCTCTTCTAATATTACTCATAAAGTAAAATAATGACATTCCAGAAATGACTAACTATACCCAAATCGTTTCTCTTCCTCACCTTAACAAATCTTTGTACTCAATGTTCTTAAGTGTGACTGTTAATTATATTTAAAAAAAGCTAACCTGCAAATCATTTCAGGGTTAACATTTGATTTTATATGGAACCCTTTGAGTTTGGTCAGTTGTGATACCCTCTGCTAGAACTTTTTGTAGTGTTAGTTAGGAAGGCTTTCTTCATTTATTCCCATAGTCAGAATTTTCTCACACCTCTTTTCTATGCTTTCTATGTGCTGGGCACATTGCTATTGAGAATGTCCAGAAGTTTTGACGCAGATCCTACTCTTAAAAGTGTTCACATATAATTTGGGAGATAGATACAGGAACAGATCTTTATAGTGGTAAAGCCTGACAGTCAACAATAAAGAGGGCATAGGGATGAATCAGGTGAAATGTACAAAGAATATTCCATGCAGAAGAGAGAACTGGAGCAAAGGCATAGAAGAGAGTAATAGGTGTTTCCTGAAGTTTCCGAGTTTGTTCCCTCCAGTTATTTTCATTTGGACAATTAAAGTAATAAATATAAAATAGTGACTTTATTTGTGAACAGAAAAAAAATCTGTTTTTTCTTTCTTTAAATTTATGATGTAAAACACACATAAATAAGAGTGCCCAAAACATAAATGTATTGCTCAGTGAAGTACCACAAAATAAACATGTAACCACCATCCAGGTTAAGAAACAGAGTTTCTAGCACCTAATAAGCCACTCCTCTGCCCACATACACGCATGTAGCCTACTAGTTGCATAGAGTGAATATGTATTTTGTCATCCAAGCCAGGACTCTCTTGTTTATCTGGGAATGTCTTCATTGCCTCCCTCATTTTTGAAGCATAGTTTTGCTGGATATAAAATTCTTGATTGACCGTCTTATTTTAGTGCTTTGAAGTTATCACTGCCATCTGGCCTCCATGGATTCTGAGAAGAAATCAGCTCTTAAGCTTATCAAGACCCCTTTTATAGATTAGTTGTTTCTCTCTTGCTGCTTTGGGGATTTTGTCTTTGTCTTTAAATAGTTTGGTTATGATATGTCTATAAATAATGCTTTCTTTCAGTTTATTCTACCTAGAATTTGTCGAGCTTCTTGAATGTATGGGTGTGTGTGTGTGTGTGTGTGTGTGTGTGTGTGTGTGGGTGAGAGAGAGAGAGAGAGAGAGAGAGAGACACACATTTGGAAAGTTTTCAGCTATTTTTTCTTTAAATAATCTTTCTGCTCATGTCTCTCCTCTCCTTCTGGGACTCCCATTATGTTTAAGTTGGTATGCTTGATGGTGTCCCACAGGTCTCTGTTAATTTGCTTTATTCTTTTTTTGTTCCGATCCTTAACCCGCGTAATCTCAGTTGACCTACTTCACTGATTTTTATTTTTATATATTTATGCCAGCTGAAATCCGCTGTTGAGCTCCTCTGGTGAATTTTCACTTCTTTTATTCTATATTTCAACTCCAGACTTTGTATTCAGTTCTTTAAATTTTTTTGTTTGTTTGTTTAAATTTCTCTATTGATATTCTCTATTTGGTGAGATAATATTTTTATACTTTACATACTTAGACATTATTTTCTAAGATTCTTTGAAAAAATTCAGAGTAGTTGCTTTAATTTCCTCGTCCAGCAATCCACCATGAGGACTTTCTCAGGGACCGTTTCTGCTCACTGCTCTTTATCTTGAGTATGTGCTGTACTCTGTTGTTTCTTTCAATGTCTCATACTTTTTGGTAGAAAACTATCTATTTTAAATATAGCAGGTCCTCGAATAACCTTGGTGAGATGCCATAGGAACTTAACTCTTGCTATATCGATTAGCCTGTGGTAAAATTGGTTTGTTAGACATTATTTCACACACTTCCAAGAGCCTATCAGTGACCTTTAGTGAGGACTTTCTGTGTAATAATAAACTGTGTGGTGACTCTCTAAATCAGATTCCCCTAACACTCACCCCTAGAGTTTGTTTTGTTGATTGTTGTTATCATTGCTTGTTTGTTTGGTGACTTTCTTGAAATTTGTAAAATCTTTATCCTTTGTCATATGTGGCCACTGAAATCTCTGTTCAGTTAATCTAGTAGTAGTCAGCTAATAATTGAGAGATTTACTTAAGTACCTGAAAGCAATTAGTCTCCAAGTCTTTTTTGAGGTCCTTTGTGGGTATGCCTTCAACACTCAGGCAACTAGTTAACAACTCTGCCTTAGCCTTCACCTCTGCTTGCCACAGAGTCTTAAGGTCAGCCAGAGGGGTGAGTGTAAGGCCTGCTCAGGATTTTCTGAGTATGTGCACAGGACTATGGATATCTTATGAAAATCTTGTTCTCCTGATTTTCCTAAAGTTTCTTGGTCAGCTTCTTTGTCCCAGCTATTAATCACTGTCTCAGACAGCCGCAATATTAAACAGTTGTTACTGATTGCTTTTCGCTGTCCCTACTGGAGTAAAAAGGCTGTTTGCGTGAATGAGTTCGGAATGACATCACATAGTATATGGAAAGTTCCTGTGAACTGCCAAACAAGTCAAATAATGACAATTCTCTAAGAATGGTGTTTTAGGGGGACTCCAAATCCATTCTGCTCCGTTTAATGGTTGCTAGACTACTGGTTTCCACAGTTATGGAGATAGGAAGATGGCGATGGGAAATGGGCAAGCTAAAATGCCCCCGGGCTTGCTATTTTTATAGAGATTCAGCCATTTTTTTTCGCCAGTAAATACACCTCAGATTGTTGAAGACCTAATTAATTTCCAGAGCTCTGAAAAAGTAGATTTTGATAATTTTTGACAGTTTTCTTAAAGGAGCTGCTTTTCGAGGTTCTTATTCTTCCATTGCCACTGATGGTGCTCCCTGGAACACTTTAGAGACTAGATAATTTTGGGAGTTATAATAGCTCTATTATTTATGCCAGAATAACAGGTTGCAACAGCTCCAAGCTAACTGGGATGTATGGCAACCTTTTCATGGGTACATTTTGATTGATTTCAGTTTGGGGGAGCAGTCATGATCAATATTGCTATGAGTGCTTTTATATCTGTGTTCAGGATGTGTGTCTACATTTCTGTTGGTATATGTCTAGGAGAGGCATTGCTCTGTCAGGGTGTATATGAATACATTCAGGTTTACTAGATACTGCTCAACAGTTTCCAAAATGAGTGAAATAATTATGCTCCTCTCATCAGCGGCTTATGAGAATTTTGCCTTGTTCCTCATGCTGGCCCACAGTTGGTGTTGTCAGATATTTTTTTTTTATGCTGTTACTGTGAAGTTGAGCGCATTTTCATGGGTTTAATGG